TGTTCAATTTTAAAGATGATTCCTTCAGAAAACTAAATTTCAATAGGTTTACCCAAAATATTTTAAAGTAATATATAGTATATCTTTTGATGAATCTCAATTTTCCCCGCTAAACTTAAAAAGTTTATTAATATGGAAACTTTCCTTTTCTTCAATATTTTTATGACACCTATTTATCACTGCCGGAATCCATTAAATTATTCCCCATTAAACTTCACCTCTGCTATAAATCAGTTAACACTTTTTTTTCCCAAATCGCCTTCAGTGCGAAAGAAAAACCCGAGGGAAAACAAGTTCACCGCCCAAAGCGAATATCGGAAAATGTAAACGTTTTTGCACAGGTGAATGACTTTTTTGTGCGCTTCCGCGGGCTTCCGGTCAAAAAAAATAGCGTTTTCATTTTCGCCATCGGCCATCGGCCAATGGCCAGCGGCTGATTTGTATGCAAATGTTTGTCTGTCCTCCCAAAAACCCCTTGGAATACGTTCATAGAGCCGCCACCATCATCATCCTCCATGCTCTGTGCCCCGAGCACACACACTTTTCCCCACCCGCAGCTAGCGGTGTGTGTGGCATGCCATAAATCCTGGCCAGGAGGAAGCTCCTGTGCGCCATGCAAACGGGCTTTGGAAATTCTTCCACTGGGACCGACTATTCCGGAACCAAGGAAACAACAACAAAAACATTCTTAACCGCCTTTAGTGGCTGTTGTTGTCTTAATACCCTTTGAATTGGGTGTAATGGTTTTTATAGGTCTTATGAGATCCAAGGTCTCTCTTTGACTTGTAGAAGAATATATAGAAAGTTATCACTATCACTTATCTTACAATTTCTGAAAACGAAGACATTTATATATTGATTTTCCTGGTGTTGCTTTATGGGATACCAAGATACTTTATAAGGTTTTTAGAAGAAAACGAGGACATTTATAAATTGATTTTCCTGGTGATGTCCAAGATACTTTATAAGGTTCTTAGAAGAACTTCTTAAGAAGAATTCAAAGAGTCACTTAGTTGTCTTAATTTATACCCATTTTTGGTATGATTATTGATATACCGAAACTCATTCCTTTTATTATAAAATCTTTCCGAATAACTGAAGAAGAGTATTCAGAATCTGTCAAAAGAAGAAATTCCTTCTTCCTGATTGTGTTATTCTTGGTGTTTTGCCTGGTGGAAAAAAATACCGCCAATTCCGTTGGTGACAACAACTAAGGCAATGTGTGGCAACCGACCAAGACACCCGACCAACAACTACCAACTTCCAACTACCAACTCCCAACTTTGAGGTGACATGTGCGACATTTGCCCCACAACCAGAAGACAATGAATGAGGAGGAACTCTATGCTAAATATGAAGAACACAGATTTCAGGGGGAGGACTAAGTGGGGGGTGCTAATGTTCCAGTTGCTTTGGTTTCTGTGCCAAAGTGTTTTGTCTATCTAATAATCTTGTAATACCCAGCCTAGAAGGTAGTGCAGACTCCCCCACTCCCCCTAGACATTATCCATTTCAAATTGCCATTTTGTCAATTACAGAGCAAAGAACAAAGGAAAAGTTGCACGAAATATTCTGGCGAGAACGTTTATGGCACATCTTAGATATACGCAAAATTTATGGCTGAAGACAAGATAAAACTGCATGCAATAAATCAGAAACACTAACGAAATACATTCTAGTTAAGCAAGGAAATAAAGAATATGGAATTCCGAGTGAAGTGAACGATAATTATATGATTTCTGTGGAAGTATTATGTTGCTCTAAGAAGCTTAAAAAACTATCTTGAGTGTTGAGTGTCAAAATAATGCTGCACAAAATGTGGATAAAACTTTATTGGATATACTACGTGATCTGGTGTCTGTGCTGGCTTAATAATGGTAAGTTATATACAGAAAACTTAAGGAAGGAAATCACAAGTAATTACAGTCATAAATTCTGTGAGGTATTTGAAACTTTCACCAGTTTAAGATGTCATAATGAAGGCAATTTATATCACAATATGTCAACCATATACGAATAACTATATTTAAGATTTATTTGCTTTTATTGTGATGACAATTATTTAAGACCCTTAATAATAGTATAGTTATAAGCTTGGCATGCTGGTTAAGTAACTGCTGATCCCAGTGTTGTCTTTGATAATCGAAAACAAACAAAGTAATTAACCGCATGTAACCCTCGAAAAGTAAAAACTGAAAAATAGTGAAATTCCAAGCGATAAGTTCAGAAAACTAGAGAAAAGTCAGCGATGAATACGAAGACGTCAACGGCGACGACGTTCTGGTCCAACGATTTAGGACTGATACAACTTTTTACGTGACTAACTTGGCTCGTGTAGTATATAGACATACCCCCAAACCGTATCGGAATCCCAGTTCCCCCTCCTGTGGAGCAGTTTACCTTTTCTGGAGTGCATTTACGCATATATACCTATATCTACCGAGACTTGTGGTCATGAAGTTGTTGCTCCAGTTTGAAGTTCCATTTAGTGCATTAATTTCGGTTCATTACATTGTCATAGTTGAGTGAAATCATTACTCTACTTGGGCAAAGAATGTCTACAGCAGTCGGGGGTTTAATGGCTCTGTCACAGTTCAAGTTCTTCCCTAACGGGCTCTAAGATGTATAACTCTCTCAAATAGCTTGACCCGTGCCGGAAAAATTGATTGCAAAATATACCTTTTGCCTCTCTCGATGCTTACGATGTTTAACCAGACAGAACTCGCTCGGAGCGGAGCAACTTGTGGCTTCGACTACGACTTGGAATCCCAAAAAAATAAACCCCTTTGACGGATAGATAGTGAAGCAAAGTCACTGGCCCAGACCGAGGAGTTTGTCGTTTCGGTGGCGTTTTCATGAAAATCACCAAGCTGAACGGGGCACTTTTTCTCTTTTCGTTGTTTTATCAAAAAAACTGAAAAAAGTAACCAACACAAACCGTATGAAAATTTGTTTTTTCTGAACTTTTTGATTGTTGAAACTTTTCTTTACCATATGCTCACATATTCATATTCACATTCACATTTACGTCTACGTTTTTGGCCAAATTTGTTCAGCCGCCAACTCACTTTCATTTGGCTCACACACACTCTCCCTACCAACTTTGCAAAAAATAAATAAATAAAAGTAGAACTTACATAATCGGGAGTTTGGTCTTTAATCTCGACTTTATTTGTACAAAGCTTCGAGGATTTACGCTTGAGGTATTTGCACCTTATGGATGTCTCTATGGCGATGGGTTTTGGAACCCGCTTTGTTTTATTCGATGACGATAATTAGTCTTGGGTTTTATTTTTAATAGTGTGTGCAATCCCTGCCACACATGCATTCGCCACTAATTAGTTGAGGAGGATCCAAAGTTGGGTAATCGAAATTTTGGTTTTTGCGGGATGGATGCCAATGCGTTGGCTTTACAAACTTTCCATTTTGTGCAGAAAGTAGCACAAGATTCATGTACGTGAGTTATCAGCAGCACACATCACAGAGATTGGGTAATAAATCCTCAGCAATTAGACTAATTTCAAAAACCACTTTTAACTGTCGAAGAAAGTCCGTCAGCACAGAGATCTCCGCCATTGCCATGTGCATTGCCCAATGTCACAACAATTAACCTACAATTGAGATCTTGAATACGAGCAGAAGATTTCACTCCTCCGTCATATATCATCTGAAGAAAATCCCGCCGGAGATGACCCCCATTCAGGGTCAATTGCAAACCGTTTACCAAAACGAGCTGAAAGAAAAAAAAAACACAACAAACAAACTGAAATTATACTGTTAACACATATCAAGAACTTGTTCTTCAGGCGGTCAAGGGAAGGTACACACATAGATAGTAACCGGAACCGGAGCTTGGGAAATATGTATGAACATACTTGTAATACTTTATAATTGCATTGCCCAAGAAAGGTGTTATGTCATGCTCCCATGGGACTTGAGTAATTGGGCTAAGGCACTTAACAAACAAATTTATGAAAGTGAGGGGAGATCAGGCTATTAATACTGCCATTAATAAGTCAAGGTGATAAAGGTGGCAACTTACAAAAAATCTTAACTATATAAAGAGATTTTACATCCAATTTAAAGTCTTATAAGAAGGTAATGACTTAGACTTTACTTAAAGAAGTAAATACAGTTTTGTAAATCAGTATACAGATCATTGTAAAATAAACTTTTAATGAGATAAGATAACTTATTGTCATTTTTCTCGACTCTCTGCTTGTTAAGGAATTAAAAACCTATATTAACATAATATCACTAAAGCTAAAGTAATTTTAAAGAGAGAACATAATATCAAAATTAATGAAACACAAAGCCCAAAGTGTAGAAAATCGATTTAACTTTTCCTTAGCCATTTCACGGACGAACTTTTACCAGTTTTGCATACGAGGAAGGGAAAGGCAAGTGGTCTCCGTTCAGAGCAATTTGCATGACCATCTCAGGTTTAACCATTTGCACACTAACACAATTAGATATCAGAGCTTGTCCGGAAACTCAAATCAGCTGCAAGGCACCCCGAATGAGGAGGAGCAGTCGAAAGATGTTGTTCCATGTGGCCAGGTGTGCCTGGTGGTGGTCGGTCGGTCTTCGCCTTCGAAGCTCTGGCCCAAAAATTGCAGCACTTGGAATGAAAGAAAACGGAAGCTTAGTAGAGCGTATCCGAGGTACGAGCAAACATGTCTGGCGATTCGGACAGGTGGCTCACTGGAACACACAAACACTGGACCAGGCACACAATCCGCTCCACACCTGCCCTCTGTGGTGGTGGCTTCCTCTGCCTGTCGCTGCAATTTGTTTTTCATTCAAAATTACCAGCAAAGTCCGAAAGTAAATCTGAAAGGGAGAGAGTCCGTTTGAGAAAAGTATTCCTTACACTAAATTTTTGCTCAAAGAAAAGCTTAATTGAGTTGGTAACCGATATTAAAATAGGTCAAGCTAAGATTGTTAAAGAACTATGCTAGATTAAGCCTATAAATTCCAACCAGTTACACTTGTAGATAATGTTTTCCCTTTCCTCTTTTATTACAGCCACTTTTGGAGCCATACTGGACTCTCGTTGTTATCTCGAGGGCGGTGGCTCAGCGGAAAGTTTCCTAGCCACTGAGGATCTGGCGGTGGGTTCCATAATTGGCAAACTAAGGATAAACGGAGATCCCACTGCTGAGACGGGAGACATTAACCTTTCGCTGAGGGAGAAGAACGCTCCAGTAGAGATTGTGGCAGGCACCAAGGAGTTGGCCCTTTCGGTGGAATTGGATAAGGAGGGTCTGAGGGGTCCCTCGTCCATCTACGTTAATGTCATCTGTATACGGCGGCACTCAACGGATCCGGTAAGATTACTACCTGGTTTTTCAAGCTCAATAACTAAAATTATTTATTGAATTGAAATGTAAAATAAACCCTATATCATGTTTTTTAAAATCCAATCCCTAAATGGCGCGATACGCATAAATTTATGTATAATAACCGGCGGTTTTGAGGCAGTCTTAACCGTAATGCTGGCTATTCCAATGACGTAGAAATTCCTGGGCTTTTCGCCCTCAAATTCGATGCCCATCAGTGTACCGCCTGTCAGAGCAGAGTCCCTCACGTCCACCATTGCGCACAATTGGTTCTCGGAATTAAACGTCAGCCCGACTTGTTGCCAATTCCAGGCGCAAAACTCCGAACTGGCCGTCTGCACCACCAGTTTCGTCCGAAAGCGGTACTCGTCAGCCAGCGGTTCGACCTTGTTAAAGGTTTCTCCCCTGAATCCCGTCATCTCCAGGCGCTGGGCGATGTGATTCCCCTCGACCTCTCGGACAGGTGGCAGGCAAATGGGCTGGACAAAGTCCGAGAACTGAACATTCCCCACCAACTTGGCCAATGCGATTTCATAGTCAAAGTTTTTGCTGTCATACATTGGGTGAACCACCAGCTCCTCGATATTCACTGCCTGCGGAGGCGGAGAGCACTTGAGGTTGTTCCCCTCCCGGCGACAGTCTTCCTTCCGGATATTTTCGGTGGCCTGCCAATCCCCAAACAGGATAAACGTGGCGTCTCCAAAGCCATAAGGTGTGAGCACGCATCTTGCGGAAAGAAGAGCATAGCGTTTGTGAATCAGCACCGCCGAGCACTTCAAATCAGGGTTCGGATCACTGGAATTTCCAAAGCCCACACGTCCAACCCACGGGTACTCGTCAGGTTCTGTGATTTGTTTCATATTGTAGAGCTGGGCCTCCCGCAGTTTTCCACACTCCAGGTCCAGACCCTGGATTTCTAAAATTAATAGAAATATTTCAGAACAATTTTGTAAATTTCTTTTTGTTTGGGGAAAAACCAGCTTTGAATAGGTATAGAAAAATATATACATATATATAAGTATGCACTTTTAAGCTTGATTAAACGTACATTTTCTTTATAAGCTACTTTTAGTATATATTTAGATGGGGAAATTGATTTCTTTAATCATTTACTAACTTACGTGTTAAGAACGCAGGCAACATCCCGAATATTAACATAACCACTGGGATACACTCCATTTTCAGTCAGTTTTCTAAAAAACTAAACCTATCTATCGAAACGCTAAACTAGTTTTAATTAAGCTTTTTATTAAGAGATGCGTTTCCATTGATGCCAGAAAGAAAATCCGATCAATCGATAAGAAATATCAATAAATCAGTTAGAAAAGCTCTTGTTTCAAAAAAAAAAAGAAAAGGGAAATTTTCAATTTGATTTCATAAGGGACAACTGTATATATAATTATAATATTCAATAAAATCTAGAACAAAGGTAAACACACCGGAAAGAGTTTGACCAAAAATATTAAGTTAAAAGCTAGCAGTATTATTTAAAGCATCACAATGATTGTGGCTAAGCACTTGTCGATCAGGTTAAAGCCGCAAATTAATCAGTCGTTCGTCCGTCCTGGTCAGTGGCCCACATCGACCGCACTTCCTGTCGAGCAACCGCATTCCGCAGCTGCGAAGGAACCCTTCGTGCAATGGGCAGCGGCGAACCAATTAACCTATATTGCTCTAAGGTGCTGCCACCTCCTTGTACCCCATTTCTCCACTGGGAGAGTGCGTGTTCCCTTGGAGGCGCTTAACTAAGCTGGTTAAATTTTCGGTAAACACGATTCTATTCTCATGAAGTTGCGGCTTTTCGTGGAACTCTATAAACAATTGAAAACTTTTTCCTAGACAATGAACGCCCATTTCAATTTTAGAATCAACAAAACAACTCTCAACTCTGGTAGTTCTCCACCGCAGCTGCAAGTCGAAGAACAATCGAAGGAGAAGGAGCTGGAGCAGGAGCGGCGTCTGTGGTTAGCCCCAGCTTGGTGGCCATAAATTAGCCATTAAGGCTTCCGTTTGCGGGGCTGAAAATGAGGATTGGGGGGTTGCTTGCCTTGGGTTTGGGGTACGTCCTGGTTTTCGGGCGAGTGTGAGGTCCGCTAAACATGCAAATGTATGCAGGACATTCGCGGTGGGCTTTGAACTCTCGAGGGTCAGTGACCAGGATTACAAGTAAGGTGTTCGTCTGCTAGGTGTACACACTTGAAGAATTGCTTAGTCATCAGTCAAAGTAATAGGACTTCTTTGAGGTATACCAAGGACTGATTTTGAACTAGAAATCAATTGATTTTATATCTGAAAGTATTATACATTTAAGAAAATTTCTTGGATTATAAATATTACTTACCCATTCCCTCTGTTCATTTTAATCCTGCAGAGCTTCGTCGTCCCTGTGAATGTGCGCGTTACCGACGTGAATGACAATGCTCCCCAGTGGATCGGCACTCCGTACACGCTGACCCTCTCAGAAGTGACCGTTCCCGGGACGCGAATACTGCAAGGAGCTCGGGCCGAAGATGCCGATCAGCCGGGACCCTTCTCCACCGTGGAGTACCAGGTGCTGCCAGGTCCATATTCGGAGTTTGTGCAGTTCCTTAATCCCCTCGAAGGCACCCTGGTGCTGAAAAAGGCCCTCGATTACGAGCAGCTACAGAACTTCACCGTAAAGTTGCGGGCCCAGGATCAGGGCACGCCGCCACGTCACTCGGACACATTGCTGCGAGTGGTCATCACAGATGCAGATGATCAGAATCCAAGATTCCAGCGGGAATCCTACACAGCGGAGCTGCCAGTGGATGGAAGGCCGGGAGAGCTGCGCATGCGTCCGGAGCCACTGAAAGCTGTGGATCAGGATGAAGGTATCTGTGCTCCGATCCAGTATACGATAGTCCAATCCCAGGATGCCAAATACTTTCGGATTCATCCGCACAACGGAGCTATTAGCCTGCTGACTCCCATTGGTTATGCGGACGTGGCCAATGGCGCCACTCTGGTGGTGAAGGCCACCCAGATCGATAATCCCGATCGCTATGCTCTAACCACCGTCCAGTTGACACGTCCTGGTAGTCACAGTGACCTCAGTACCCTGGCATTTGTCCAGAAGAGATTTGTGATGAGGATCCGAGAGGACACGGCGGTGGGCAATCGAATACTGGCCTTGCCAACCAACAAACCAGGGAAACATCTAAAGTACACCATTCCGGATCCGGTGAACTCACAATTCTTCAGTGTAGGATCTCTGGGGGAACTGGTCTTGGCCAAGCCACTTGACTACGAGAAGATGACCAAGCATGAGTTCCAGGTGATGGCCACCGATGGAATGACCAATAGCACCGCCGAGCTCACGCTGGATGTAATCGACGTCAACGATTGGGAGCCACGATTCAGGGAGACACACTATGAGTTTATGGTGCCCAAGAGCGTGAGTATTCTAAACGATTTGCAGGAAGGTCCTTAAGCTTTCAACTTTCCATCCTTCTCCAGCAGTCCCTGCAGTCCCGAGCGGATTCTTTTGAGGGCGTTCTCATCGGCAAGGTGGAGGCGGCGGATGGCGATCGCAACGATAAGCTGGAGCTCTCACTGCGTGGTCAGCATGCTGGACTATTCGAGATCGATGCCACCGGCAATATCTACATGCGTCCGGAGCAGTTGCAGAGCCTCAACGAGTCCACAGTACACTTGATAGCCATTGCCACGGATACGGGTGTGCCGCCCAGGAGTACCTCAGTCCCAGTCAGCGTGACTATGGAGGGTCTGACCCTGGCCCAATCCGGCTGGAATAGCAGCATGCTGGGCATGTTCGGCATGATCGTGGGGCTCTTCCTGATGATCATCGTGGCGCTCAGCTGCTACATTGTGCGGTCCAAGAAGCAGGGGAAGAGTGCTTCCAGTGGCCTTGGCCTTGGTCGGAATCGTGTGCACAGCCAGGCGCACAGCAGTGTATCCTCGGCCAATCTGGTTACCCACGAGAAGCTGGCCGGGAATGGCAATGGCAACGGGGCCAGCGTCACCAGCGGTGGAGTTTCTGTGCTCCACATGAAGCACGGCGGCAATATCACCATGGCGAATCCGATGAACAATGGTCTGCATCATGTGGCCAGTGGAGCCAGCAGTAGCATGGCTCTCGGCAGTTCCGCTGCCCTGCTGGAGAGGGAACGGGAGCGAGAGCGGGATCGGGAACGACAGCGGGAGAGCTATGCAGCCACAGTGCGCAGTAAGTTAAACTCTTCCCCAGAAAAAAAGAATGCTCTGCCCCAATCTCACCCGAAACACTCACTATAAGTAGTCTTTTTGCCAGGCATCGTTTCGCGCGCCTCCGCCAACGGTCAGCTCTTCGAGGAGGAGGACGAGATCGAGCACGACTCCCTGCAGACGGAGAATAACAACCGGAAGGTGGCGGCCACCGGAGCAATAAGTGGCAACGGGGTCACCACCATTACGACCACGTCGGCCAATGCCAACGGCTCCAATTTACTATCTGCCACCGATGCCATGGGCTCCTCGGAGAACAACTTGACGGTCTACTTCTAGAGCTGTGGCAGTCCAGCTAGCTGCTCGCGGAGTGCTTGTAAATATCGCTGCTAAGTCAGTTTAGGATTAGGTTTAGGCCCCTCCCCTCTCCACGCGCACAAGTGTATTGTACATTGAGTAGACCAAATATAGCATTGTAAACAGACCCCAGCACACACACACCATGATGATCTAGGCTAAGTCCGAGCGATTTCCATTGTAAAGTTTTGCTTCCCCGATTTTAAGTGGATCGATTCGAGTGCGTCCAATAAAGTTTTCGAATATTAAATCAGAAACGTTGTACGAATCTCGTTGTTTATATATTCTTTTTCTTTAGGCTTATTTTCTACTTCGATATTCAGCATTGAACTGCACAACTTTGGCATGGACACAACATAAAAACAAAGGACTTAGGACTTTGACTTGGAAACAAATACGTATAGAATAATATTCACTGGGTTAGACGAATCATATCTGGATTCACTTTGGCAAAAACAATCTTGGGAATGGAAAGATTAATTCTCAAATGAAAACCTACAGCTCCTAAATCATAATGACATGGAATTGCAGTGCAACATCTCATTTCTTTACCTATAAAAATCATCCCAGACTTTTGCTATGGAAAAAATGCTGTTTAAATGGCACGACCGATCTTTAGCTTTACCTGCCATTGCGTTTCGCCTTCCGCTTGAGCAGATTAAAGTCGCCATACTGAATGTGATTGTCGGTGAGGAATGGCACATAGAAGGCACGCAGCACCTTGTGCGACTTCTCCGGTATGAGGAAGGGTAGGCTCTTCATCACTGTCCACTCCTTGGATCGCTTCGAGTAGTTGGGCTCCAGCGGCGTGTACTTGCCCTCGTCGAAATCGACGAGGAAATCGCATTGGTCATAATCAAAGTACATGTGCTCGTTCTCCTGATTGAGATCATTGAAGTAGGGATGCACCACCTGGGTGGCATTGTCGCCGTTAACATAGTACGCTGGCAGCATGCCACGGAACTCGGACTTTAGGAAGCGCAGGCGGAAGTTCCGGGCGGGGAAGAAGAAGCTTCCCGGATACCGATGCCAGTCCTTGCCAATGCAGACATTGTAGATGGAGTTTGGATTATATTGTGGATCCGTCTTGAACTGATTAAGCTCCAGCATCAGATCCATGGGGGCATGGTAGTTCCTGTACAAGGCAAACACCCGCGAGAGTCCGAGCAGTGTACTTGTCACCATCACCAGGATGGCAATGAACATACTGTGATCCAGATAGTGAACGCCTGCCTTGATCTTGAACACCAGAGACTTGAAGCGGAAGAAGATGCGCTGGTACACATCCACTGTGATGGCGCCGCAAAGAGAGATCAGGGGGTAAACAGGGAACAAAAACCGCTCCTCCTTATGAGGTTGGGCGAAGAAGACCAACAGCCAGAGGTAAAGGGGAGCAAGTGAGATGTAGTGGGGGAAGTTAAGCGTTGACTTTGACTTGGCAGGCACAATTAAGTAATCCATGACCAGCATTATGGGTAGTTGCAAAGCCAGGAGCTATAGATAACAGAAAAGAAGATTAGAGAATTATAAAAAGCAAGAATTAGTCAAATTCTCACCCATATAATATTAAAGTTGAGGAAACCATTGATAATATAGTAGCTAAGTGGTTCCGTGCCGAAGATGTTTGGTCCGTGGCTAGTGAACACATTGTACCACACGATGTTCAGCGGAGCAAAGGTCAGCTTGCCAAAGTAGCTCGTATCGATGGCAATCATGGGTATGGCAACCGAGGCGCCCGAGATCAGGGTCCACTGAACGAATGTCTTCCAGTCCCGCTGCCTGATCAGCATCTCCAGCACCAGGGGTATGGCAATCAGAGCGGCGAATGGCCAACCCAACAGAGCCGAGATGGCCGTCAGGAATATGGCAAAACTGTAGTTATGCTGCCACCAGGCGGCCAGAGCAGCGCATCCAAAGTACATGGAGAACGAGGAGGGCAACAGAGCAGTGCTGGACACGAACATGCCGACGCTGAACAGTTGGAATATTAGCCAGAGACGACCGATGTGTATGCCAAACTCCTGGCAAATGGACCTGAAAAATGATAGTTATACAAATATTATTTGTCTAGGATGCGGTTTGCCTGTGGGTCTTACTTGTACATAAACCTCTCCATAACTGCACAGCCAAAGCCCAGCATGCACCGCACCATGTAGAAGATGAGTATGGGACTGGGATTGAAGATCTTCTGGTAAAGGTATCCAGGCACGCCCTGCAACAGCAGGTAAGTGTAGGAGCGGAGCCCAAATTGCGGGCTATACTCCCAGGTCTGCAGGCCGTGGCCATTGATGATGTAGTGCAGAGGCTCCCAGTAGTTGAAGGTCTCGTCACAGTCGGCGATGTACGCCCAAATGGCGCTGCAAAGCCGGGCGCTCACGAAGGTCTTGAAGGCGGTCTGCACGCTGGGCATTATAGGATTCGGGGTGCTGCTTTTCTCCTGGCTCCCACTCGCCGATTGCTTGCTAAAGGCAGGCAAGAGTTAAATAATACCGGTTAAGTCGAATTCGGACCTGGAAAAACTCATTCTTACCGTTTTTTCGAGTCCTTTTGCTTCTTATCCTTCTTGCCGGCCGGTGCCGCGTCTTTGTTGCTGCCATTGAGGCCCAGCCGCTTGGGCGGTTTCTTCGAGAGAATCTGATTGTCCGCCTTGTTGGCTATGTAGCGAGCACGCGCTGCCGGGGGCGCCATGATCCGGAAAATGGAAAAGTGCCGGCGTGGGAAATGTAAGGAGAATTTGCAAGTGCAAGTGTAAGTGTGACCATATCGGGAGCGGCTAAAAATACCACTTACAGAAGCGGTCAAAATATTAGCACCATATGGTATATTGATATATATATACATATATCTTCTGCCTCCACTTGCTGTTTACGTGTATACTAATAGTTAATAATTTGTAAACTTTAAAACTTGTTAATTAAACTACTAACTATTTGATTTATTTTGACTGCACCTGTAACAAAATCAAACGTTTTCAAACACTAATTGGCGGATTGCAATTTTGCAACACTGCAACAGAAATCGGGGAAATCTGTTTGCTACATTTCCATAAGTCGCGTCGCAAACAAAACAAAATGTCAAAAGACGATAAGGATAAAGCTCAAATAATCGACAAAGACTTGGATCTGTCAAATGCCGGACGTGGCGTGTGGCTAGTCAAGGTGCCGAAGTACATTGCACAGAAATGGGAGAAGGCTCCGTCGAATATGGACGTGGGCAAGCTGCGGATCAGCAAGACCCCCGGCCAGAAGGCCCAGGTCTCGCTCTCGCTCACACCCTCCGTCCTGGCTCTGGATCCAGATGAGAAGATACCCACAGAGCACGTGCTGGATGTGTCGCAGGTCACGAAACAGACGTTAGGGGTATTCTCGCACATGGCACCGACTGATGTAGGCGCTGGCAGCAACGGCAAGGAGAACTCGTCAATGATTTCTGGCCAACCGGACAACGAGAAGCTCTACATGGAGGGTCGCATTGTCCAGAAGCTGGAGTGCCGTCCGATCGCCGATACTTGCTACATGAAGCTGAAGCTGGAGTCCATCCGCAAGGCCTCGGAACCACAGCGCCGGGTGCAGCCCATCGATAAGATCGTACAGAACTTCAAGCCGGTCAAGGATCATGCACACAATGTAATATTTATTTTTGTTTATCTTACGGGTCAAGGACAGAAAATGAACCCAGTATTTTTGTTTTTAGATTGAATATCGGGAGCGAAAGAAGGCCGAGGGCAAGAAGGCTCGCGATGACAAGAATGCTGTGATGGACATGCTTTTCCATGCCTTCGAGAAGCATCAGTACTACAATATTAAGGATCTCGTCAAGATCACCAATCAGCCGATTAGCTACCTCAAGGAGATTCTCAAGGATGTCTGCGATTACAACATGAAGAACCCGCACAAAAACATGTGGGAGCTCAAGAAGGAGTATCGCCACTACAAGACTGAGGAGAAAAAGGAGGAGGAGCACAAGTCCGGCAGCAGCGATTCCGAATAGCATATAGAAGCTATCTACTTTGATTAAAAATATATTTAAGTGATTGCATGAATTTTTGTTTTATTCCTTAAAAACTACTCTTAGGCTATTGAAAAAACATATTTCTTGCACATAATTTGTAAATAGACTTTTATGCTTGCACTCTGGTTCTTAAATATGTATATACATAAATATATATACAATCTTCTCTGGATTTCTACGCCATGCGCATGCATAAGTAGACCTAATTCTTATTATATATTATTCTGTCTCCTTATTTACAGTGCATGGAGCCAGACTAAATCTATACAAACTTTCTTTTTTGATAATTTTGTACAATACGAGATCAGGTACTGGATTTTAGTACTATCAGCTCATATGGATTTCCAAAACACAATTTGTTTTTGTTCAAAATGCAAAATTAAATAAGAATACAAAATAAAGTTGAAAAATATTAGAAGTTCTAAGGAAAATAAAAGAACATTTTAAATAAAACTAAAAAGAATCCGAAATGTGTTAAAGTTATAAGAACAGTTAAAATTAAAAGGAAAATAAATTTAAAGAAAAAAGAAATTTTGAGAAAATTATAAGAAAGAAAATAAAATTTCAAAAGAAAAATAATGAAATAAAAAATGTTAAGAAAATTATAAATTGAAAGAAACTGAAATGCATGTTGATCTCTATCAAAATGTTAAGGAAAATTGAGCTTAAATAATACTGTTTAACTTTAAATTACACACAAATATTGCGTCAAAAGCTTAAAATACGAAACTATGATTACTTTGTACATAAACTAAATGTAAAATTTGTGGCAAGCTCTCGCTGTGCCTTGCGCTAGCCAAGCCTCTTGACCTTGCGGTACGTCTGGGAAAAGTGCATTGTCTGTCGAGCCTGTAAATGGTGCAAGGGGGTTAGTTATTATTTGAAGCGAGAGACACTACTGGGACGCCGATGAACTACACAAAGCTCCTCTATAATCTACAACTAATCTACAACATTTAACACACAAACAACACAGTCTTCTGCTAGTCGTCATGGGGCGCCGATGTCAGTGAGGAGCACATCGACGATATTCCCGAGTCGGTGTCATTCGCAGACTGGCTTATCTTGGGGACTGGCTGTATCAATCGAACTGTTTTTGCAAACACCTCAGGAGACGCCAATTCTGTTGACAACCGCTTGGTCGGTTTGCTCTTGGCCTTGGCAGCAGCTGAAGTCGAAGCAGCACTCATGTTGCCCACATCATCCTCGGGATGAATTTCCATACGTTTCATACTCTTTAGCTGCATGCAAAACTGTGACATTTCGATGGGTTTGCTTTTGTCGTGATTTTCGAAATGCAACGATACGTTGCCGTGATTTGTCTGCAATTATAGTAATAAAGTGTATATAGTTTGAAGTCTCTTTCTGATAATCCAGCCACTTACCAGGACGAGGGAGGCTAGCATATAGCGACACATGATACTGGGATCCTTGTCGGCCATTACATCGGCTAACGTGGCCTGACCATTGACTCCTGCCTTGCACACATTCAAAATCTCAGTTCCCAAATCTTTGATGTCAAAATTCTGCCGCGCATGGGCTGCCTCCAGGGTGGGTGCCAATCGCATATGCCAGTCCCGGATCTATAGAGAGATGTGGTTGAAAATTTAATTGAACAAGTGAAGGGCAATGAAAGCAAACCCACCATTGTGCTGGAGTCAGTAAAATCCGCGTTGTCGAATTCCAGACTTGTTTCCTCATCATTGTCCTGGCCTTCTGCTTCGTCTATTCTGTCATCTATATTATCCGCAGCCACTGGTGCTTCGTCAATTATTGTGGATTGGTCTAGCAGCGTTGTAGTTTCCAACGTTGACTGGTCAAGTTGTGCGCCATCGGTGGCATTTAATTCTGTGTCCATTGTGGTTCCTAACCCGCTATCCATTCCTGCATTTAGTGTAGCCTCCAATCCGGATTCAAGTTCAATGTTTTCAGTCGCGTCAAGAAGAGTAGTGGCATCTGCACTATTAGCTCCCTCTGGTGCTAGTTCAGTGGAAGCAGTTTTTAATGGTGCTTCTGCATTCGCCGCTTCACTAGGAGCATTTTCCTTCACTTCAACAGAATCCCCTTCAGTGTTGCCTTTATTCACTGGATTTCTAGAGGATTCAACGTCTGGGGAAATTGTCCTTGAAAGGTTTGCGATGTCATCAATGGCAAAGCCAGAGTCCATAGTTGGTCGCCGTCGAAAGCCAAGAAAATCTAGAAAATGTTTCGGTGTGTTTAATACAAGATAATATAAGAAAGTTATTTCAGGTTCACTCACTCATATCCAAATCAAATTCTAAGCTCTCCGGCGACCCGGGCATCTCATCCATTTGATTTTCTTGGTTCCTTTCGGTTCGCAACACCAGAGTCCTCTGTACTGCAGGTGGTTTCGGGACGGCCTCTCGTTTGCTGGGCAGGCGCTAAAATTATTTTTGAATTAAATTTATATTTAAAAAACATTTAATTAAATAACTAAAGTTTACTTACCGAATTCTTAAATATGTCATACTCCTTGGTTAGTTTAAAAATACATTTTCGGCGAACGTGCTTTGTCGGAAATCCGAAAATATTCAGCACCATGGGATAGCAGACTTCCCTGGGAACATCCACAGGTTCCTCGGCATGCATCACAATAATGGGAGCTGTTCCCTCTGGCTCCTCTGATGGCTGTGCTTCCACCTTGATCTCGTTGAGATCCGTCATTGCGGCATCATTATTTACCACCGCTTCTTCGAACTGACGACGCTGCCTCTGATCTTCAAAATCTGAAAGAACAACACCTTCATCTTCAAAAGACTGGCCTGCCGAGACTATGCAGGGATGCATGTGGCGGGATCAAGGGTGCCAAAATAAACAAAAAAAAAAAAACATAAAGGGAAACCAAAGTGTGAGTAATCCAAATTCTACAACACAAAGATTAACAAAAACTTATCCTTAAAAAAGAGATCGCTTGGTCAGCATGTTTCTTTTTGGATTGCTTATGGTTTACCTGTATGATGAGAATCTGAGACATCGTCCATGCCGATGCCGAAATCGAAAAGCAAGAGCTCCTCCTCCTTCACGGGGGGAAAGTCCAATCTGGTGCTGTCAAGGACACTTGACTCGTTTATGGCCAATGTGCTGGACTCGTTCAAAGCCAACGTGCTACTCAGTGGTGGGTTTTCCACTTGACCAACACTCAGCGAACAGTTTTCATTTTGGCTAACGCTTAGGGAAGTGTTCTCCATCTGAGAGGAGTTCTCCCCTTGGCTAATGCCTATAGCGGAGTCCGCCAACTGGTTTACGCTTACGGACGAGTCCTCGACCTGACTAACATTAAAGGTACCGTCTTCTTGACTGATGCCCAGTGTGGAATTAATGGCGCTGATCTCTTGAGTTAAATTCATTGTTTCGCCAAGACCAGAATCTCTAGACACTTGAGCTTCGTCGGTTGATTGGTCGATGTCGTTCAGCGTTGATTGATGTATCTCCATGGCTTCGGTAAGCCCTGCTTCAAGCGTATCCATGGCCTGATCCTCCTCCAGCCGCGCCCTTTTCGACATACTCGTTTCGGCGCTTTCATCAAGCATTCGTTTTCCCTGATTGTCCATTCTTCTTCTCGTCCTGACGGTGGCGCCGTATCGAGAGGCAAGCATTTCATTCTCCAGCGCTATGCACTCATCCAGGTAATCCTTGGTGGTCATGTGCTCATTAAGGATCTCCGAGGTGTTCATCTGAATTGTGTGCACGTACTCTTTGATCATATTAAACCGCTCAAAGGGAATGTCAGGCAGGAGGGTATTGTATCGATGCTCCACATGATAAGTAAACATTTTGTACTGTTTCTTTTCATCCAGATCCAATGGGTTCTGGGGATCAACAATGGGTGCGTGACGCCACAGATTGGGCGGCATATGATCCTGGTAAAGGTATTCTATAGTCCGATTCTTCGTGCACTTAACGAAGCCGGTCGTATTGAAACGCTTCTCATCGGACATGGTCCTAAATCGACGCGGTTCCATGGTGAGCAAATAGGGATCCACTTCCTTCTTGGTTAGCTTCTTGGCGCGACGCTTGCGCGGCTCCTCCGGTCTCGATGCAGTGTTCTCTGATCTGCAAGGAGGAAATTAAAGTTGTAGCAATATTCTAATAGGGCTTTAACATTAACTTATTAAGAATTACTGAACGTAAAGGTATTTTCTTTGTTGCTATTCTAAAAAATTATCCCATATCACTTAAAGAATAATTAATTAATTAATTTTAATTTAATTAATGAAAAAAGAAGACAAGGAGAGCTTTTGGGGTTTCTAGTGGATGCTTCAATGAAAGTGTTTATTAAAATAATCTTATTTTTTATACTTTTAGGTGATTATTCGGTTAACTGATAAGAATTTAATCAGAAAATGTATTTGGGTCAAATAATTTTGTATTCCAATGAATCTTATCTCATGTTTTGAATACATTTATTTAAGATTTTTCTGATCACATCAATTAATATATTATTATATACCACTACTTAAATAAGAAAGTTCCCTACGATATCAATAAAATTTTAATTTATGAATGATCTAATGTGACTCGCTTTCTTATCGTAAAACTTTCCTCTCCGCTCATTCTTTAAGCTTTAAAGCACTCAGTTTTTGTTTATCTAAGAGCGACCATTCATTAACATGTGACTGGGAAACGGGAAGCGAAGCCGGGTTCACTGATCACTGACATTGGGCGTAAATAAAGCCAAAGATGGTGGTGTAGGAGAAGCAGTGATAAGCGGTATTTCGGCACTTGATAAACCAATACAGCAGACGGAATGGCGGCACACATACATATGTACATGCCGGCCCAGAGCACATGGCTTTGAACTTCCACGCTATTCGCCAAAAACTCCATGCAAAGTGCTCTTATCTTTGGCCATTCCACACACTTACCCATTGCTTTCGCCGGCCGGCTCCTTTTGAGGCTGCGATGTGAGCAATGCCTCGATCTGATGCTCCACCACCTGGTACATGTACTCCACGCGGTCTCCATAGATCTTGCCGCAGTACTGGAGGGTTCTTCCGGCGGCCACGATGGCCGTTCGCCGGGGCACATTGCTGTTTGCCAGACAGAAGCGCAGGAAATCTTCAATATACTGTAAAAGGGATATGCAATTAATTCAGGATCTTGTGATTTACGATTAGATTTAGGTTTTAAGAATTACGTAATTTTGTAGGAGTGATTTTCTAATGGAAATCCAATTCTTTTAATTTTCTCTTTAGTTAGAATAACTCCCACTCTGCTCATCCACTTACATATCCGAGCGATATCCGTAGATCCGTGGAGAAGTCGGTGTTCTTCGAGACCTCCTCAAGCAGGGTGACCAGCGAGGCCAAATCCTGCTGCTCTTCGTAGGCCTCAATGCACTTGGCAACATGCGTTCCTGGTCGACTTCTCGCGACTTCCAATATCAGGTTTCTGGCTTCATTGGTACTGCTGGCTAAAAAACAAGGGGATAAAGGGGGAAGAGTTTCTTATAAAACGCCCAATCGCAGATCCGCTTTATTGTTTATTTCTTCTCTCCATTCGCTCACACAAGCACACGCACACGTGCACGCATACACACACTGAAACACAACACACGTATGCCGTAAACTGGAAATAGCGCTGACATGATCCAACGATTGCCGGAGGCACCGAAGATCTCGATGGCGTCATGGCACATGGCCCTCCGCTACTTACCCGGCTCTTCTGAAGATGCCCGTTCCATGGCTCAGTGCTGAAGTCTATGAAGTGTCTTGCCTAAATTCATATTTTCATACTTCCTCCTCCACATTCTGGGGACGACTTGCACGATTCGCTCACACGCACACACACAAAACAAGCACGAAACACAAAAACAAAATGGAGGCAGCACGCCGTCTTTTTCACTTGTGCTAAAATGTATTATTAGCTTTGATTCGAGTCTTATTTCACCGAATTTTATTTTTTCGCAAGGAATTGGCGCGAATCGGTGTAGGGATAATTTCCTATTCACTCTCCCGATATGTATTTCTGATTTTGTTTTGCTCTCCGTGAGCGAAAATCACAGAAGCGAATGAGAGATGAGACAAACACGAAATGAAGAGAAAACCACGCGACGGTGGGCGTCATTTTGAAACGATGGAAATATATCACCGGGTCTGGCAGCGCCAGACGCCTATGCGAGACGGGACAGTGCTGCCAGACTGTTCATTTCCGAGCCATCACCGTTGCCAAATAATGTTGAAGTTATTATATTATTCTAATATTATCTATGTGTCGTTTACATAAAACATAAACATAAATAAATACTGAAGGTGTATCCAGTTTTTTTTTGGTTTCAAAGCTTTTATTTATTTGGAGCTATGGAGCTATGAATACGACGACATAACTTCGTTGTTATATTATTATTCAAAATAATGTTGAATGTTTATCAAAATCTAATTATTATATGTACAAACGTTCAATTAGTCTTCTGTTTCTTTTCATTTAACCAAAATATAGATTCTTAATGATCTAATTTGAAACTGTAGGAGTATACACAAACTTAAATGTCTTTTTCAGTTTTATTACAAGAATATCTGTCAAATTTTAACTATCTCCCTATGTTTAATTAACTAAAAAAATCAGATTTTAAATAATTGATATTGTATATTGTTAAATTATTATAAAACAAACTTGAGCAGATCTGCAGATGCATTTTACTTCCTACATGGGAATTCGAATTTAAATCTGTAAGCGTTTATGTACACGTGTAAAATGTAAACCTAAACAAACACAGGGATGTTAAATTTCAAATTTTTGTAAACTTGAGCTATTTTTAAGTTTATAAGCTAGTTGATAACCTTATAAGCTTTTCCATTTTCAAATATGGATGTAAGCTAAACTAGCGAAGCCCACAAACAATTTTCAACAGCGCAAATACAGATTTAAACATATTCGATCCGTTAGATACTTCGCTTTGTATCTTTGGGATTTTTTCATTTTTAAATATACCAAATATACCGGAGTAACCTTAGCTGGTCGCACTTTCTGTGTTTCTATGAAAATGTTGTATGGTCACACTAGCTGCACAAGAACGGATGCGACGCTTCGCGAGTACAAATAAAATTTTTAAATAATTCGCTGCAACGGCCAATCGCGCAAACAGCGGCTCAAATCGCAGATTTTGCTTCCGAAAAATCTGAATAATCCGAAACGATAGAGTGCGCCAATCGAAAAGTGTTCGGTGAAGGTGTGAAAGTGAAAAAGTGCATTGCAGTTACTGCAGTACAATTCCGTTTTCCTGCCACAAGAAGCATCTCGGTGGTGAGGTGGTGACCAAAACCAGTTAAGCCAAAGGCAGAAAAGAATAAATCCAGCGAATCCACCATGGGTCTCAACGGCTGCTGTTCGTGCGTCAAATATCTGATGGTCCTTATAAACATTTTATTTTGGGTATGTCACATCCTGATCCTGATCACAACAACAACTGGAACACACGGACCTCAATCTCTGCGCGCGTGTGTGTGTGTATGTGGGTGTTAGGGCTTGTATTTGTGTTTTGTGTATTTCTACGCCCCTGGTTCGCTGTTCCTCCCACTCAATGAGGCTGGAGGAGGTAGGGAGGAGCCATGCGCACGCTCTTTTGAGAATTGCTCCTTTGGAGTCCTACCGTTCTCTCGGTTACGCTCTCTCTTTCTCCCTCAGGGATGACAACAATCAAAACGGGTTTATTAAATAATTAAAAATTATTTTAAAAATATCAGATCAGATCAGAAAGGAGGGGAAATTTGTCTATATGTTTATGATAGAATTTTAAAATTCTTAATTTCTTAATTTAATTAAATACATTTTTATGAAATTAAATAAATTTATTTATAGTTACCGAATTAAATGTAATAACAAATTGTTGTCTAATTTTGATTATGTATAGTTGAGTTAATTGCTCTACTGATATGCTAAAGTTAAATCATTTTCAAGCTAAATCTATCGGTAAAAACTGTCTCCACCACTTGCTCCTCTCTTCCTGTCTTCGCTGAGTAGCGCTCTCGACTCCTACTCCACCTCCCCCATCCCTCATAAACAATAGAAGTTCCGTTGTAGGAGTGGATAACACACACACACAAACATACTCCCGCGCACCCACCAACACCCACACAGACAGATATTGAAGCATCTCCCTCCCCACTCTCGGACTCTGTTTCTTTTCCCGCCTCTTCCCCTTTTATACACGTTTGTTCAGTTGTTTTTCTTCGGCTTCTGCCTTTTCCTGTTTTTTCTTCTTCTGTTTTTATTATTTTTATAACGTATACGTGCGTTTGATATTTTTACAAACTTCAGTAGGGGTTTATCCAGTATCCAGTAAAAAGGATCTAAATTAGGCACCGCACCCTGGAAAGGGGTTTATTTGTGTTTTTACGCAATTTTTGACTTTCTGACTTTCAACAACGCCTCGCTCGCCTCAATTGTTTCATTCAATTATTGTCTGTTTGTGTTTGTTTTCCCCAAGACTTATTGCGAAATCAGTTTCGCTTTTCCTTTGGGCAACAAATTTAAGATTTTTGATGGTTATGCTGCTGGTTGTTTTGATTTTAATTTTTTTTTTGGTTTTCGGTTTGTTGATTGTTGCTGCCTTTTTTCGATTTCTGTCTATAGTATTTATTAGTCAAAAGCTATTTTCGAATACGGGCGAAAAACAACAAAAACATATGCGTCCGCTCGTAGAATACACTGAACACCATTTGAATTTTAAAATTTATTTGAAAAAAATTTCTTTTGAACTTATCTAACTCGAATATTTTGCTAATCCGGTTTTCTTTTTTATGGATTTTTATCAAGCCGTTTAGCTACATTTTATTTAAATTAATTTTAAGCCTCTTTTCGATTTGTATTTAAGAATGTATTTATATATTTTATTTAAATACTATTGGGCATCCCTCTCTAATTTAACGCTTTCTGATAAATTGAATAGAACCATTATCTTAAAATATGTTTTTTTTAACAGAGAAATTTTATATCTTTTACAATAATTCCTTTTAATATCTGTTCTTATCTTATCGTTTTTATATCCTACTTATTTTCGGTGTAGTTTTTCTTGGTCTATGATGTCTTAGTATTCGTTGTTTTTGTTTGTTGCACAGTGGTATGTGTTTGATGTTTATAGAAGGCAGCAAGATGTGATTGAATTTGTGATGTGTTTGTGATGCAGTTCTTTTCACTAATCGGTTGTACTATTTTTAGAGCGATGTTTTGACTGAAAGTGCGTCAGAAATTTATTTATATAGCTTTACGCTTGCCAGTTGTTGGTTTAAGTGTATTTTTAACAAATGAGAAGTTATAAATAATAAAATTTATTGAACTAACGATTAATAGGTAATGAGGCAACATGCATATTAAGATTTATCAAAATATTAATTAACATATTTATCAATCTATGGTTCATAATACACTTTGCAAAAGATATATTGTTTCTAAGACCTTGTATACTTAAAACCAACTTTTATTTAACGTAAAATATATGATATACTATTATTCAATTCTATTACTTCTTTCTAAAACTATGCATATGTGACCACTGTCCTGCAATGATTTAAATTCGATTCTGTTTCCTTTGATTTTCCTTTCCACTGTGCGCATCGGTTTCCAAACATTTCCATTTTCATCGTCGCCGTGGGGCATCGTGATCAAACGGCACGATCTCTGAGGACGCTGACGTTCCATGATGATGCCGAGATCCAAGATCCCAGATTTTGAGATGCTGGGAGGCCGCTGGCGAGCGTCTAAAATGCTAAAATGCCGCCACCGCCGCTGCCGCTGCCGTCATTGAAGTTGACAGTGACCAAAAAAAGCTGTCCGTTGGCCATCTGACAAGACATTGTGCCCCCTAGCCACCCACCGAAAAGCAATTCATTTACTTACAGTCAACACTTTTTAAGAGAAAACAATAGATTTAGTCTCTAGATCTCAAGGAAAATCTTCGATATTTTTATAGAGGGTACATTATAACATATTTTTAAGTCAGAAGCGTCTTACGCAGTGAAGGAGTCATTTGCGACCATATAAATCATATATATTCTTGATCAGCATCATCAGCCAAGTCTATCTAGCCATGTCCAGTAGAAAAAAAATGTTTTTGAAATTTTTTCAAAATTAAATATATATTTTATCATGAAAATTGTCATAAAATATTGACGAAAATTTTATTTTTTTTAATATTTAAATTGAGTATGCAGATTTATTAACCTGGTAAAAACTAGCATAGGAAAGCTTTCCGAATTAAAATTAATGCTTTTTTGGCATAGTTATGAGTTTTTTAAACTTTGAATAGCCGAAAAATATCGATCTAAAAAACTCGAATATTTTAAGCTTACTTAACTTCGAATTCCAATAAATTTTTACAAGTTTAGTTAATGAATTTTATGCTTTCTACTCATTATAATTAAATACCTTGCGTATATGTATTAATTTAAATTATTTTTATTCTGATTATCTTATCCTATCAAGTTCAGATAGGAAGGTCCTTTGACCTTTTTCCGCAAATACTAATTCTGTCTTAGGAAAGGTCACCTGTATCTATTTCTGTCTCTTCTACATGCATAATTCGCTGTGCTATTTTCACTCAATTATTCATGAGTGGCGCTTCATTCATTTTTCATTTATAGTTTGTATTTTGCAAACTGTGTTTGCTGGCGGCTCGGCTGCAGTTTGGAATCGATGCGGTTAATTGTGGCACAATAACGACAACTGGACATGCATATGGCAGAGTCAGCTGCACTCTTGTAACCCGATTTTCGCGTTGTAATTTCTCAAAGCTCTCTCGTTTTCCGCCTGTCGACGCCTCGGCTCTGAAAAGTGGGTCAACGAAGGACTTTTATTAGCCGCTCGTTTGTTTGTCATGGACACGCGACATGGTGTCAGGATATGTACGAGTGTCTGTACGTACCAGGAATCGTAAAATTGCAACAAACAAACATAGCTACAAATAAGGTGTGGATTTCATTCGTACACGGAAAAATGGAATTGATTTGAAATGGGGTCAGTTTTCTAGAAAAGTGGAAAACGTTCACAGGACTTTAAGGTGGTTTTATACGAAATTTAATAGGTTATATTAAGAAAAAAGGGAAAATAACTGATAGTACTGACAAAATATATTACTTTCTAAAATTCTTTTATTGAGTATTTTACATTTTTGTATCTTTAAATTTTATTTGCACAATGACCTTACTTGTAAGGTTGTTCTTTGCAAATTGTAAAAGTTATTCATCTGAGTATTCGCTCTGCTGGTTATGTCGCTTTTATTACTCAATAAACGGCCCTCGGATGGTGCAACATTGTATTACATTTCCACGAACAGTTTTTCCGTTAGCTGCACTCACGCACACAGACACACACACACACTCATGTGAACTTTTAGGGCGGCATATCGTGCACTCTGTGTGGCACACTTTTTGTCCCACTCGCACTCGGCTGCAAACTGGGCTTTTCCATTTTCTATAGCTTCCTCATTCGTGGACCACCCGCATAAAGCCGGTCTCTGGTGCATCCTCTTGGACTTCATACGATTTTCATGAATTTTTGCGGCTCTCTTTGATGGTTAAGTCACTCTCACTTTTCTTTAGGGAGCTATATCTTGTTTTTATGTTTGGGCGCCAAAAATAATGCGATTACCGGAAGTACAAGCCTCACCCTAGAATTAACCCTTTCGGCCTCATAAAATATAATGCCTAAAAATTGTACACTCTGAGAAAATAAAACTACATAAATTCAAAATAATTTCTTAAGTAGGCAGCCCTGTAAAAACTGAAATAGTTACCAAATTCAGTAATTGCAAGATCTGCTGCGTACTCTTATCAAGTAGCATGGATGCTAGAAATGCTCTAGATTTCTTGGCAATTACGAAAAATTTTGGGTAGAGAAGAAATATTTAGATAAGATATGTATTCTAATTTGAAATTCTTTCCAGTTTGCTTTCGGTTTGTAAGTGGCTTTTAAATTTACATAATTTCCCTTATAATAAGTTCCACTTGTTTACATCCCTTGATTAGTTCTCATCGCACTCTCAAATTCCCTGAGATGAATATTTTAGTTGAATAATTAATGAATGTGAATATACATACTCACTCTGACACTTGTGTGTGTGTGTCTCACCTATTAAGTCATTAGCGCTTTATTAGATTTTTACACTCACGGCACGAACTTGAATTTAAATGCAACATTTTCATAGATGATTTGCTTGCCTTTATTCAAGTTAAGTGATTCAATTTCTATATAAGTTAAGTTATTCAACTTCTACATAGCAAAAGAAGGAGGAAAATATAATTTTTTTAATCAAAAAGTTCGCAATATGTTAGCTGTTACTGGGAAGAAGTGATAAGAACGTCGCAGCTTCTCGTTCGAGTCAATGTCCTGACCCTATAAAAATGATAAGCACTTGTGAGTTATAAAAACAAATTAAATCTGCACTAAACTCGTTTCTGTACCTGTTTCTTGATTTCATATTAATTTTTTACTTATGTACCCAGTACTGTCCTAATTTAATTAAATTAAAAGCAACAAATTTTGACGCTGACATCATAAGTTGGGTCTATGGGGAGGGAAGACCTCCCACTTTAATTGCCGCCTTGCCAGATGGCGTCATTGAGGCGTGTTCCCAGTGTGTTCCAATGCAACTTATTAAAATTTTACAATTTTACAAAGAAAATGCGTAAAGTCTATACTAAAAATAACTTTTTATATCGTCTCTGATTTCGCTTGCAGCTCATTGGCCTGACCATCGTGATCACCTCCGTCTGGATGCTGACAGATCCCACGTTCATGCTGTCCATGACACAATCCTACAATCATTACCATATAGCTCTTTACGTTTTCCTGGGCATTGGCATACTGATCACTCTGGGTGCATTCTTTGGCTGCTGGGGCGTTTGCCGAGAATCGCAATGTCTGCTGGTTTCGGTAAGTAAAAATGGAGTAAAAGATTATATGGTAGTACCAGTGTCTAATATTCTGAATTCCAATTAAACTGGATGCAGTACTGTGGCCCACACAGCTCTGTTCGCATAATTGCAACTGAGGCTCGCCCACAATGTCTGGGAGAGACTGCCAATCGCTGCACTCAGAAAAAGGGAGATAACATCTTAAGTCTACTTTAAGAATCATTAAATAATATTTAAAACACTTATTAAACCAGCTTATTGAATTGAAAAGTTTAACATGAATTTAAGAAAGAACTATTCATTTTATATTCTTGTATATAACTTGCTTAAGTATTTCCGAATATTCCCAGTGTGGATAAGTCTTTATTAAATGGCAACGAGTTTATTAACCCAACGCCCACTGCCTTTTTTCCACTCACATTCATTCATAAATCTGAAATTCTCTTGCAGTTCTTCTGTGTCATACTCATCGTGATGGTGGCACAAATTGCAGCCGGTGCCTGGGCCTTCCACAACAAAGACAAGCTGGATGACATTGTCCGGGCGGCAGTCAAGTCCTCAGTTCAGGAGGAGTATGGACAGTCTACTATGAGTTCGCGCACCGTCACATTCGATACGCTGCAAAAGAATGTAAATATTTAGAACTACTTAATTCCAAACAGACGAAGAAACTGATTTATGTGATTTACTATCTTCTTTTCAGTTGAAGTGCTGCGGTGCCGATGGACCTGGCGATTGGGCCACGAGTCGTTTTAATAATGTGGATCGCACAAATATTGTGGAGATTGCCGTTTCTTCCATGAATGTCTTCTACAATATACCCGAATCCTGCTGCAAGGATAATCTAAAAGATAATGAGTGCGAACTGTCGCGTCGTCTGAAATTTGGTGGCCCATTGAACGCTGCCATTTATCAGCAGGTAGGGAGATACTCTGAATGAAACAAATGCTCTGAGTCACATGATAGTAAACCTAAATTACGCATTCATTCAGCGCTCTTTCATCAAGTCAAAGAATTACCAAAAAAGTCCATTAAAGTCAATTGATAGGTGTGGCCGATTCATAATTTCGCAGCCGGCCGGGCCATAAAAATTAATAATCCTTTACGCATTTGTTGATTTTTCGACGGTCTCAGTCTGAAAGCTCTCCGCTTTCAGCAACTGGGCTAATAAAAATTCACGCCCGCTGACGCCGAGACGATAAAAACGTATTAATTAATATTGATATTCAACACGCATTTCAAATTTCAGTCTGATTGGGTTTTGTTTGTAAGAAAAGAACCCGGGAATGTCTTCTATGTTATAAACAAACTGAAATGCAATTGAAGCTCCGTTATAAATAAACAGATTAATGATAACACTTTCATCTCTTCTAGGGCTGCGTTGACAAGCTGATTGATATAATTTATGAGAACTGGGTCACCATCTTTGCCGTCACTGCCGCTGTTATTCTGCTGGAGCTGCTCTCCCTGACCTTCGCCCTGAGCCTGTGCTGTGCGGTGAGGAATCAGCACTACAAGGCCTGAGAATTACAGAACTCCCATAGGGAAATCACGGACGATGAGAAGTACTAACAAACCAAATCGAAACGGATGCATTGCGAGCGTTATTACTGAAGGCGTGCGTGCGAATGGGGTAAATGCATTTAGCAGATAATGTCCGACGTCCCCAGGTCAATACTTTAACAGCAGCAAAAACGACAGAACAACAACACGACAACACCACACTTTTGTAGTACTTTTAACCAGAAGACAAACGACAGACAACAAGCTGAGCAATTGTATTTGAGATACGACACCTTTTGGGATTTGTGGAAAGTTTTTAAAGCACAAGCCACGCAATGTCGCGGAAGTCAACTTTATATGAACTTGATATGCTAGCAGAGCGAGAAAAACAAATGACACTTTTCTAAACAACATATTTCTACAACCAAGCAAACAAGAAACACAAACATTAAACTTTATATAAACATAAACAATAGCGGTGGAGAAACAGCGATGCATGCATGAATATTTTTAAATCATCGTTCTACTATGGCGAATATTAATGATTTTGCTATCTTTTTTTTAAACATGTTCAATATGTATTACCGTTTAATATATATTTATTTTAGTTATTTGTTGTGCAATTTTTTGTTTATAAAAATTTACATTTTAAAAATTATGTTTTTTTATAATGTCAAGAACATCATTGTCTGTGTTTCTCCACCTCTAAAACAAGCTCCATAATACTTAGCCTAGCGAGAAAGTTTCGAATTCATAGATACATGCTATGTATTAAATATATAGAGAAAAGCATAAGCACAAACGTATAAAGGTATAAAAGTATAATGTTAAATGCCAAAACCAATGGATAAATGTAAACAAAATGAAAAGCAATCAAATTTCTTTCAAAATTTGTTCTCCCCTGCCCCCCGATAAGACTTTTGATTACTAATTAAGTTATCTTTTGTGGCCATTTTCGTACGCTAACACAATGCCAAATGATGTATGTAAAAATCATCCCATATATACGTATATGTAACATATGATAACACACAGCATTCCACAAGAATGAGAATGATTGACAGATTTTTGTTCTGGCTTACAAAAAAAAAAACGCATTGCCATCCAAAGACCCAGCCCAAACTATATATTTTCCAATCATTTTTATTAAACTTGTGTAAATTGTTGTGCTAAAAAAAACCAATCGAAAACAAATCAATTCGTAGAGCTTCGCGAAATTAAATGCCAAATATTTTATGTATTTACAAAATTGTAATTTTATTTATTTATGATTTATTTATTTGAGCGAGGAGCAAAAGGGAAATCTTAGCAATGAACATGTAACTCATCCTTAGCACTAAGCAGCCTAGAAACGCTCTTTCTCTGTTTTGACTAAACTTTGAAATAGGACTAGTGTCTGTTTTAATGTACTTTAAAGGCCCTACTCTATTTTAAGTAGTCTTTTAACTGCTCGAGTGAATTAATATTGGGTAATCGTAACGAATTTTGTCGAATCCAACTTACCTGCATCGAAAACAAACTTATTATTTAGACATCATTGTATAAGTGCAACTATTTATATGGGAAGTCATCAAAAGAAGCACAAAATGTTAAATGGCAACTACCATGCACACAAAAAATCTCTATATTTACATTGTATTTTACCATACACCATGAACTATAATTAATATATATATATACATATATACATATATATTTTTTGTAACATTTTCATTTTATTGTTGTTATATGTGAATTTTGTTGTTAGTTAAGCGTAGCCTGAACGTCACACTTTGTACCCCCTCACAACGTCTAAATAAATTAATTAAATTAAATTTACAAGAAAACCAATCCAAGGACAAAATTATATTAAATTTACAAACTAATGAAATTACCCGAAGGAAATACAAATAAATATATTGTATTTAAATTTACACATTGAGGTAATTTATTTATTTTAACATTTCTTAGTAAGTCATGAAGTTAAATCAAATACACAGTTCTAGGTTAAGAGAGAAGAAATCTGCATACAAATAAAATTCACGTTCATGTGTTGGATTTGTAGCAAAAAAAAAAGATAAATAAAAGCATTGGAATATTTAGGAAATACAATTTTCAAATTTAACATCTCTAAACCTTAAGGAGAATTGATTGTAGCAAAATATTTATAGCACAAAACCATCATCCAGCATATAAAATCAAAACCAAAACAAAAATAAATGAATCTACTCTTCAAATAACATAAAACAAACAAAAACAATCAACTCAGCATCTTCATAGCATATGGAAACTAAATAGTTTGTATGACAAAATGGCACATTTTCAAGACATCCAATTTAAAATGGAAAAAAGTTATACAATATAACGATGCTCAAGATCTGTATTTAACAACAGCAATTTGTAAAACCGAAACAGAGGTACGCATAGTATTGACTCATTGGATATTTGAGACAAGTTACTGCGAACAGTGCGGCATTAAAACTGATATTTCAAATAAATAAACATACATTTAAATAAAATTATAGAAACTATTTTCTAATTTGGGGATAATACGTTTGGAAAAGTAAACCCGCTCTACTTCAAACCCACCGAATAAAAGTACAACAACTCAATAAATAATTAAATTTTTATTTTTATTAAAATGTTTATCGGTTTTTATCCATTACCCATTTTGTTGTGAGGCATTGTTTTAATTACTTTTCTTATCTTTTTTTCTGGTTTCTTGCATTATTTTAGTTATTATTTAGAGTGGCATAAGAACAGTTTGGTTATTTTTGTTATGTTTTCATTTTCACGTTCTAAAAACTAAAGATTAACGAAATTTGAATGGAAGTGTTTAAGAACTGAGGCGTTGACACTCATAAGACCTACTAAAACTACCTACACTTAAGATTTTCCTAGTTCACATTATTAAACTGAAGGTACATTTTAGTGGATTTACTTTATCATTCATTTTAATGAACATGTTCAAAGTGTGAAAGATTAATGTTAATTACTTGGAAAGTTGACAACACATACAAATGGTCTGTTTTTCTTTAGCACAGACTCGACTGGGTTGAAAAATTTGAACAATTTTGGAATGACAAAAAGAATGTTTTAGACAATTAAATAATTGAATTTACACATAAATGGATTTTTCGTAGCATATGATAGTATTGTTTTTGTTATTGTAGTATTAATTTAATAAATGTTTCGAGGGTGTTTTCCTATCGTGTACTTATTACAAACAATCCAAATCACTAACCACGTTTGCTCTTGTTAAGTTTTCGTTTCATTTATTATTATTCATAGGGATAGTGTACAAATGAAATATTTTGGTTAACTTAGAGGATAAACATTCGAGATGGATGGATGGTAGCTTTTGGGGATTTAACATCTCGGGATTCATTTACATATACATATGTATATCGCTTAGGCTGACAAAATTATTATCGTAATTTACATTTACTATAGGTACATTTTGATTTAATTTAGTTCCAACTAAATACGAATTAAACGTAGTTGTTGTGTAAAGGTAATGCTAAAAATTAGTTACTACACGTAAGTTACACATATTAAGGTCTGGCATTCCAACTAGCTATAACAAGTAAACGTTGATCTCGACATTTAGCATAGCATAGTGGATATTCATTCTCGTTCATAATTGTCGTGGACATTTAGCAGCTAAAACCGAGTTTATAACATCTTCCAATTCGGTTGGTTAAATAAATTTCATTAGGTTTAGTTTTAAGATTTAATGTTAGGTATAAGCGTTTCAATTTCATTATTTATTATGTTGACTAGTTTAGACATTTAGCTTTCGTTCAATTCGAGTGATAGTATTAATATCAATAAGTATTCCATGTAGTTTTCATGTTGGACAGTGTACGTTCATATTGCATAGATCGTTTTCTTAAAGTTACAAATCGTCTCCGTGGGTGGTTTAACAAGTATAGGTCGCATAGGATTTCATTTAGCCAAGATGCTCTTGCTAAACAAAATGTTCTGGTTAAACACATTTACTAACGTTTAATATTATTTTCTTGATGGATTCGCAAAAAATGGCTTTGCCGTTTGATGGGAGAGTATTTTGTATTATATAGTTTCGTTTTGTCTGAAGAATCGTGGAAGATGGATGCGTTGTTACAGGAAATTAAGAATAACAGATGTAACATTATTAAATATTTAAAAATGTTTAGAATCCAATATTTAAATATTCTTTAAAATAATATCTTTGGAAAAATGTAATGTAACGATTTCTCACTATAGAAACCCCCTTTTCTTTTATTGTATTTAGTTTTATCATCCTTTTAAGGCTTCTCATGTATGATTTCTGGTACAGAAATATCCTTTTTGTTTGAAGCAACAATGGAAGAACAATGTTTACAACTAAAAGCGGAAATAGGAAATATCAAACCACATTGATTGTCTTCTCTTGTCTATGCACAATTAAGCGTTCAATGTTTATGAGTTTTTATAAAAATCGCGCACGCTTTTCTTTTGTATTTTAAGTGTGTTTTCCCATTCAGCGAACAGCAGATAAAATTGTTTTTCTCACTTTTAACATCATCCTTCGATAGGTTCTTGTGTGTCAATTGGGTGGGCTTTAAATAAAAAAGGACCTGACACGTCCTATGTAGGCGTTAATATTTAATGACATTGTGTAATTGAATAAAAATGTAATTTAATTGAAGAGTCATGTTGTGAACTGCAGTTACCATTAACAAATCAGCAGGGCCTTGTATAAATATAAATAATTAAACTGTAATTGTCAAGTGCTATTTTTTTATATATCGGTGGTCGGTTGGGCACGAAAAAACCCACGCATATTTTATCCATATTTATTTAAGTTTTCAAATCAATATTGTTAGGAGACAGCTTTATTGAGAAAAAATTGCAAATTCAATTAGTGGATGGAAAAAATATAAGAATTATTGCAAATGGCAAATGAGTTTTAATAGAATTTACCGCTTGGTGAAGTAATTTAGTTTGTCATCTTTCGTTTTCGTATTTAAAGCTTTAATTGACCGCGAAGAAAAAGGCTTTAAATTTTGACAGTTTTCAATACAACAAAATAGGGGAAAAGATTTATAGAAACATAATAGAGGTAACCCTTTAATTGGTTTTTATATCAATTAGCTAAATATATTATATCTATTATTTGTTAAGCATATTTGTAGTAAAGTAAATCGTGTTGAGAGCTCTGATTCTCTTGTTGTCGGTATACCAATTCCATTCCTGAATCAAACATTTGGTTTTTGGTGGTTTTGTTTTTAGTTTAGTTTAGTTCCCGGAATAATATACATATACATGTATAAATTTATATAGTAAATACATATATAAGACCAATTCGCTTTCCACGGCAGGATTAAATTCATAATATGCTCAAAAAATGACATATTCTTTATAATCTGATCAATCTTTGACGACCTCATTGTTAGTTATATAATAACACACTCATAAAGTTTAAAGATTTCTTCTTTCGATATTTGTTTGTTTGTTTGTTGCCTAAGCTAATTTATTTAATTACTAATATGTTTCATTTCCTTATTTCCCATCAATTTCACTGGTGTTTCTTGTTTGTCATATTCTTTGTGGTTGTGTTTTTTGGGGTTCCTCCTCCCTTTTTTTTTGTAAAGTTTTTCTTTTTGGTTTTTTCTGAGGTTGTCAATTTGTTTGGTTGCGTTGCTTATTGCATTTAGAGATCTATAAGAGATCTTATAGTCCTGGAATTGCGCAGCTCTGGCTCGTCCTCGTCCTCTTGTCATCAAAGGTCGTTGTCGAACATTTGCAGCGAACGCGTTACCAAGTCGTCCTTCAGGCAGGCCTCCAGGAACTCCTCTATCGTAATAATGCCATCCTGATTTAAGTCCAGCTTCCGAAACACACGGTCAACCTGGAAAATTTACGATTGCAATATATAAGGGTAATTAAAGTTGTATTCAACTTTATCTTTCCTGCATAACTTTAATAAACTTTGAAATGAATGGAATAAGCTTAACTCTTTCTCACTTTCCTCTCTTCAACTCTTCATTGAGTGAAATCCATTTCGCATTTAATCTCTCATTTCCATAGCAACGACTTTATATTGGTACTTTCAGGGGGAAACGTGAAACCTTCATCATTAAGTAAAATATCCGCTGCTGTTTCCGCACATGAAGGCTTCCGTTTCCGCCCCACCCACCCCTTAACAATCCGCTCTGTGTCAATGCATTTCGATTTCGATTCGTCTCTTATGCATACCAACTGTATTTCTGTGTTCACAATTATAATTACGCATACGCAGTGTGAGCCCGACCAATGTCAGCGGATGCTGCTGTGTCGAGTGCGGCTTTTGCATAAAAAATGAAGCATACAAATCTGTGTCAGTGTAGGTGACATGGACACATAGAGATTGCAGGAACAAAAGCCCAGGACGTGCCGTTCATTCTAGATAAACAAGGATTTCGCTTTGCATCACTCGCAATTTGAATGAAGCAAGCAGAGCTTAGCTGCAGGATTTGGTGAAAAACAAATATTCCAGGACTGCCTGCAGAAGGATATTGCATAATATTGCAAGTACAGAGTAAGAAAATACATAAAGTCACCTTAAAATCATAATGTTAATCAAATATGTTATTTTAGTTGAAGAGAGGGAAGCTAAAACATATAACAGGAAATATGTAAACCCTTCTAAGTTAGATAACCCCTCATTTATTCTCACCTGATCCCTCGCCTTGCGATCATCCTCGGGCTGATGTGGTCTCCTTCCCATAAGCTCATGTATGGCCAAAATAATTTCACTCAGCTCACCGCGACTGATCCTGCCGTCGCCGTTGAGGTCGTACAGCTTAAAGGTCCAACGCAGTCGCTCGTAGACCGAACCGCGCAATAATGTCGACAAGGTGACCAATAAATCCTAATATAGATGAAAATGCATAAATAAGGGTCCACCGTGGAAGTTGCGTAAATGTTGTTTGTAATAAGAAGTAATTACCCGAAAACTAATGGCGCCATTGCAATTAACATCGAACGCTTTGAACACATAATGAGCGTATAAACTCGAATCTATATAAATAGAACAAGCAAAATGGGGGGCGTGTCAGAGTGATTATTTTCCTTATTTTCTATCCTCTCTGGCTGTTTGAGTATTTTTTGGGTATTTTGGCATTTAGGGCGCAGCTGTGCTGCAAGGACGAAATGTTCGCTTAAATGGCGCTTTATGACGCGCAACTATAAAAAGGAGAAGCTTAAGACCTCGGCGACAGCGTCGAGCTAACACACACACACTCTGCCAAAAGGGACATTTATTCGCAAACATACACACACTCACACACAAATACTTACTGCCATGTGGAAAGAATTTGGCGTAAATATCCTTAAAACAATCCTCGTGCACCACGCCCTCGGGGCATTCCTGCGAAGAAGGAAAAGAAATCGCCATGAAAGTGTTTGCTCGGTTAATAAAGAAAAAGGCAAATTTAATGAAAGTGAGTTTGCAAAAAAAGGACAACAGAGGTTAAACCGCGAGGAATCTTGCTTAACTTATGACAGCTTTTGATGGGAAAAGTATTTACTTATCAGTATTAAATCTTTGTTTGTATAAAAATAGTTTGTAGGAAATTGAATAAATATTATAGGGAGTTTGGATAAAGTTTAGGTTAAAACCCTAGTAATCTAACTATTCTGTATTATCTTAAAATAGTGATTAAAATTATGAAATTTTCAACAATTTAAACTATCTAGTACATTTCATTATACTCAAAACTCTTCATTTCATAACTCAAGACTTCTCTTAATTGATTGATTTGTTTAGAAAATAAAACAATAAAAACTTGCCCATGTCATACAACCAAATCTATTATTTCCCTTATTAAGAAAGTTGACTAGTTTAACTAAACTACTCTGTTTAGTAGTGCAAAACTTAATGCCGTCAGTTTTCTTCAACTATTTGTCGTGGAAAACGAGCAAAAAACGGTCACTGAGACAAACTATCAATGGGGGCAAACTGTCAATAAGGCAAACTATCAGAAATAGAGCCAAACTATACCCGGTTCAGGCTATCCATTTACTTGACCCCGGAGCTCATCTGCTGTTGACTGACCCATATATTGAAACCTTTTTTTTATTCCGCGCTGAGTTAGCAACTTTTCCGCACTTTGGGTGTAAGTGCTTGGACACACACACTCGGCACACTCGTCGAGGAGCGAATTCATTTGCAATGAAATTCAAAACGCATGTGCATTAAACTGGCTGCCATTTATGGAGCTCTTTCTTTCGCATTCCGGCTGCCCAGTTGCCCCACCGAGTTGTCATTGTTGGATCATAAATCTGAAAGCTTTATTTTATTGGAATGGTAGGGGAGATGCTGTAAAAAGATTTTAGCCTCGGGACCTGCTCTTTTTTTCCGCTGAATAGGCAGTTACTTAGATGATATTAAGGTTTTATGGCTCATATTTTTAGACTTTAACCAAGTTGCGAGTTTAATTTTTCTCTGTAATTTTGATTTATTTCAATTTTTGCAGAGAAATATAAATTCAAAGATTTTCTTTTTAGCTTTAATAAGTTAGCTTAGCAAGAGAGTTAATAATTATGGTTCTCATTCAACGAATATAAATAATTAAGGGTGTTTAATACTGATAAAGTTATACATTCTATAAATTAATTATTAATATTTTTCCTACCGTTTTAAATCCTCTGTACATAACGCGGATTTCCTGTTTGGTGAACTTGGTCTGCCGACACAGATCCTCGAGGGCAACGGGTATGGGCTTAGGCACTCGTGTGTGTTCCAACTCATAGACCACCTCCTCGATGGGACTCTCCGGTGGCGAGGCCATGGTTGCTTCTTACTTATTGCTGTCTGGTTTTCTTCCAATTTAATTAATTTGCTTGCTGATTACGATTTATGTGGCTTAATATCAATTTGCATTTGAGGTGCTCGGTTTTTATTTTCTTTCTAGAGTCAAGAGAACGAACTCATTATGCCTAAAATTCGCTATGAGTATTCAATTTCTTTGTCCCTTTTTTTTATGTTGCCGGCTGCTGTTGCGCGAAATCCCTTTTAGCGTATCCTTTTTTTTGTGTGGTTTTCGGTTACGGTTTCCTTTACGCCATTCCGCTAAGTCGCTAATGAGGCAACCATTGCTGTAATGGCACAAAAAAGAAATAGTAGGTTTCGAGCAGGTAAATTACACTGAAGGAAAAGTTATTAATATGAAATAATGTGCTTAAAACAGTACTAATTATTTAGGGATAGATTTACAGTCTACGAAAATTAAATAATCAAAGTTTAACCATAGTTTCTGGCTTGGAAATTTAAGTGTTAACATTTGGTATATTTCATATGCTCTTGATTTAATAATAATTTTTGCCAAGTACACATAAATCAGGACTCTCTGCCAGGGCAAGGACACTTGCAGCTGCCGGAAGTGCAACTCGTTGCCGCAGGTACCGTTGCGGCCACCATCTCACCATCTCACCCACACACTCACCCTTCACGCCATGTACATCGAGTATACGCCTCGTTGGCTGCCATTGCCTGAGGCCCCCGAAGACGGGCGGGCAACATGCAAATGAAGATTATTATTGCGTACCATAAATCAAAGGCGAATCGAGTTATGTGCACTCTTTGGCGTACTTGCAGCACCTTCGTTGCACCTGGGCTGGAGGGGATTTCGGAAGCTGTTGAGTTGTGAGAAGAGAAGCGTCGAATGGTTTGCTGCCCAGATGAAATTAATGAGCACTTTGGATCCAAATGAATTGAATGCCAGATCGCTCTAGCTAAGTGTTTGTTTTTCAGAACATTGGAAATTTTACTGGGAAAAATGAGTTGTACTTGGAAGTTGAAGATGATATTCAAGGATTATGTACAGAAACTTTAATTTTTTGCTAATTACTGAAGCAATACACCAAAGCATCTTAGAAATATGTCTTGTAATCGTCGGAAAATTATAAGTAAACAGGTTAAGAAACAAATACAAATATCTTGTATTTTGAGCAAGCTTTTCAGGGAAACTATTTTATTTATTATTTAATATTTTAGGTTTAGTAATTTAAGAGATTACTGGAATTTGTTTTCTATTTTAAACTTTAACCTTACAAACTTACTTAAAGCTATTTCCTCTTTTTGCCCAATATCAATCTAGAACGACAATAATGGCTGCTTTCTCATTCATCATAATAAAACCAATCCGTAAATCAAATCCCATAAATCCACAAATTGAATTTCTTTTGCAATGACTCGCTTGCAGCAGCTCAAATCGAATCTTTGGTGGATTGCTACCGTTTTTTACTCTGACAAATTTCAACAGCACTTCAATATTTATCAGCGAAAAAGTCAAAAAGTGAGTGTTCTCCTGACTATTTCCACTCTATTTCCATTTCGCATTTCCATTCTATTTGCACCCACAAACACACACACACACATATACACATAGTCAGCCATTTTGTTAGCTAAGAAGGAGGCAGAAAATGGAGAAGGGCGGAAGGGACCTCCATTTCCGACGTCACGGTTATTTTTCAGTTGGAATTGATTAAGCGACAGATGGACCAAAATGGGGTCAGTACGAAACGGAAATAGCTTTGACAGTCTTAATACAAGCAAAAGTATTTATTTCTACTTTAATTTTGCAGTTCTTACAACACCATTTACCATTCCTTATTTATTTAATCTGTGGTCTACAGCCGAACCTTGAATATTATAAAGAAAGAAAGTCTTTAAATATCTTTAGTATTTTTGTATATTTAAGTTTGTTTTTCATTTTCCTAAACTATATATTTATTGTCAACCTAAACACAAACAAATTCCCTTAAGAACTTCCAACTTCATCTGAAGAAAACTTAATTTCCCCGAAGCTTTACTTTTAGACTTTGCCAAAACCCCCTTTCACTTTTTGAATACATAAATAATTTATAAATCGCCAAAGTAAGTCTTAAATATTTATACATTTTCCTCCAAAAGTCAAACTCTGAGTGGAATCAATAACTTTAACCCGTGACCGTGAAGCCGAGAAAATGTGCCGAGTGCTCGGTCCTTTAGGCCACAAGCAACTGCTAAATGTTGCCCGCCATTAGCATAAATAGTATTAAAAGCAAAGAGAGCCATAAAACCGACTACAATGTCATACTTAGCTGCTCGAGCAGTGTGCAACCAACTAATTTCATGACTCTGTTCTGCACAAATCTCTGTGGCCCACATGATAGGGCTAGGGGGTGGGAAAAATGCCGGGAAAATGGGGGGAGTGTAACGAAAAGCGTGCAACTGCCTGCATTTTACAGCATTTGAAATCCATGCTGTTGTAACGCCTTTTTTTGCATGGTCAGGCATTTCTTATGTACACTTGGAAAATTAAGGATTATTTTAATTTAAGCAATTTAAATAAGTTTTTCATTTAAAATAAAGAGATTTCAAGGGAATTAAGCTAAAGTTAACATATATTTAATTATCTTTTAAACCTCTTAAAGTTCTTGTTTTCTAAGATGATTAATTTACTGATTACAATAAAAATTCCTATAAAAGCATGGCAGCTTTATGAAAAACAGAGTGTTATACCGACATTATAAATTGTATTTAAAAGTGTAATCTTTAATCTTTTATACATTTTTTTATAAACTGTCAAAAACTTCAGACTTTAAACTTTGTCCTGAAATCGCTTACCAAAACTCAATTTGGGCAGGACTTTTTCCTCAATGTGTACTTCGTTTTTAACACTTCCATCCTACACACACCCTCACACTCACATTTAACTTTCAAATGCAGTTTTGGCGCGACCTGTGTGTGTGTGTGCGTGGGTGTGCGCTTGTGTGCTTGGGCATGTAAAATGTTTGTCAAATATCACGTATACGACATGTGCTTCCGGCGGAGAGCGCACGAACACCCTCGAATAGCCGTGCAACCGACCGGTTCGAATCGGTATGGGAGCTATATCGGGGCCGGGGGGCGGGTGTGAAGTCGAACCCATTCATTGCCAGGGCAAAAGCTAATTAAATATTAAACCAGGTCACAGAGAGGGTAAACGTTATAATTCGAAAAGCCATATTAGCCAATTGCCGAATGCCAAGGCACTCAATGCTAACAAAATATTTCAACACATACTATACACCCAGTGAAATGCACTTGAGGCGAGGATACTTGGGATTGGGGATATGCAAATTTTCTTTGCCAAGAACTGTATGTTTATTCATTTGTCTAATTGTGTTGTTCTTGCCGCTGCCGAAAGGGGTGGGGAAAGTCGGCAGGGGCTCTCTCTCTGTGGGTCCTGGTGTGCGGCATGTCAGGACTTGAACTTATAAATGGAAACGACAACGGCAGCAGGAGCAGGAGCAGCAGCCTCGGCAAGGACAAGGCTTGGCCAGAGCCGGAGCCGGAGCTTGCATGCAGTCATGCAATCCTACTCGAATGGGAAGAAAAAACTAAAACCAAAACTAAAACTAAACAAGAACGCACGCCAGTCCTCCTCCCACACACACACACACACACTGCTGCTAACTGTAATTGTCAACAGTGGTTTGTAGACACAAACAAAATAATATTTGACAATGCGAGGCTGCCTTTGAGGGCTTATTTATTTATTTATTTATAAAGTTAAATTAGGGTTTTGCGCTCAAGGATTCCTGATGAGATGCCGTGGAGAAAGTAACAATTAAATTGGGTTCTTTTGGTTATGAACTGTGTGTATCAAATCAACTGAGTATCAGTTTAGAAATATTTAAAGGAAATGCTTTTAAATTTGCTAGTAAAATGCAATACATTAAAGTTACCCAAAATATCTTGGTATTTGATGCATAAGTCTATTAATCAATATATATAACGTTTTGATAATGATGATATTTTTGCTGCCATAAAAATAATAATAATATGCTTGATATTTTCCCAACGATTCCACTGTGTTGATTTCATGTCACAGAGCCTGGTTCCATTGTCATTTCCTGCTGTTTTCATGCCACTTTCATGGACAACTCAGACAGACTGGCACAATGTGAGAGCAGTAGGAGTGCCAAGCTCGAAAAGCAAACCAAACTGGGCTGTCCCCAGCTATATCTAAATAGAGACTCCCAAGCTGATCTAGCACGCAACCGCAAAGGACACAGTTCCACTTCAATTTCGAGAGTATTATTAAATTGCGGATATGTATGTATGTATCTATGGCGTATCCCTCGCTTTGTATATTTAATTTTTGCTTTTCTTGGGACCATTGCCACAGTGAGCATAATTGAATTTCCTTTTTTAGCCAAGGCTTTTGTTGGCAATCCGCCCACGAAATCTGGTTGCGCCTACCAAAGACAATAAATCAACGCCAATTATAGCCACTTTTTGCTGGCTTTCTGCGGTTCTCCGCCAAGGCAAACGATGACGACACCATAACGTAACGCTTTTCAACACTTTTCAATCCGAAAATCAGGCCACAGTGCCTGTGAATGGGAAAATAATGAACACGCCATCGAATCTCGTGAGGAATCCTGCGGCGGATATCCGATCAAATCCGAGCTGCCAAATGGAAATGCATTTGCATTGTGATTAGCCGAGATATCGTTGTGTGCAATGTTGACAAGAGCCTTGTGGGGATTTGAGATAATGGACGGATGTTTGTTCTCCAGTGGATAGGCTCACATACATTAATACACAGGACGCAGGACATAGACACGCACACACACCGTTGATGGCGTGCAATTTGATATATATATATAAACATTATAATTGCAATAACCTTAGATTGCTTTTAGTTATGACACAAAATGTTTTCAAACAAACATTAATGATAAATGGAGAATTAAATGTTTGATGGAAGGCAATGACAATTTAATGCATAAACTAATTGCAGGCAGTAATTGGGGAATGAATTACTAATTTTATTGAGGTTTAAAAGCTACAAGTAAAATTTGGCACTCTTTCATGTTCCCCCAGGGATTTGAATTTGGTAAACTTATAAGAGATCTTTATTTATTTTGCTGTAACTAAATTTAATGTGAATGATTTTATGGTTGCCTAATTTTGTATAATAAATAAGCACATACCTATCTTTAATAAGGGTAATAAATTTACCTCTAACATAATTGTATAGGTAAAGGTAATACCAGAATAAAATTGCTTTATATACTTCATATCCCCATCAATCCCCATATGTATGATGCATTATCTTTACAAA